CCTGATAAGATAGGTGGATCCCAGTTCATCATTTTCGAATTCTACCAAGCTGCACTAACCATCTTGAGAAGACAGTGCTAAATAACGAGGTATCTGACGACTTTCTTCTCTTCACACTTCTGCAAAAACTTCACCGATTGGAGGAAGAGGTGATCTCACAATGATTCTTCCTCTCACTTCATCAAACTCCACATTAAGCCCAGCAAGGAATTTGTAGCTTCGGTGTGCTTGTACAGTCTTCTTATTGTGATTGGCGTCCTCAATAGATTTCCATTCATAGTCATTGAATAGATCCAAGTCTTGCCACAGCCTTTTCAGCAAATTAAAATACTTGGTAACTGTGTCATCTCCCTGTCGAATTGCACCAAGTTTCGGGGTTAACTCATAAACTTGGGACACCAAGGGCTTGTTCTTTTGAGTGAAAAACTCAAAAAAAGACAACTCGAGTTACAACTTTATTCGAGTTCATGTTCTTTTAAGTTTAAACTCAAGTTTAAACTCGAGTTCAAACTCGAGTTTAGGACTAAAACTCGAGTTCAAGTTTCCCCTTCAACTCGAGTTCAGAAACTCGAACTCAAATTAATGAACAATATTTTTTCTATTCTTAAAAATGCTATAACTTTTTCGTTTTAATTCTGATTGAGATTTTTTTTTTTCTATGCGTTGACAACGAAAAGACGAATAAAACCCGACCCATATACCCTATTAAAATTTTCATCAGCATTGAGTTTTTATTAAAATACTATCTAAATACAAATTTAAGTTTTGACTCACTCAAACGCAAACTCAAAAAGGTTCTTATCTTAAACCATAACTCAAATGTACACAACCAAACACAAACTCAAGTTACAAGTTCAACTCAAGTTATAACTCAAATTCAACTCAAAAATTATACTCAAATTAAACTCCAAAAGAACAAGCCCCAAGTTTCGGGGTTAACTCATAAACTTGGGACTGGTTTCCTAAATCAGAGTACATATGATTAACATTATCCCATAGTTCCTAGGCTGTAGAGTAGCACATGTAGTTAGAACTGATATTCTCGTCCATCGAGTTGACAAACCACGTCACCACCATCGAATTCTCTGCATCCCATGTTGCATATTTCGAGTCCTCTGGTGCTAGTGCCTTCTTTTCTCCAGTCAGGTAGCCAATTTTTCCTCGCCCTCGAATATACATTCGAACAGATTGAGACCACCGTAAATAATTATCGCCATTAGGCGAATCGTAATAATCTGGACAGAATGTGAATCGGTGTTTAAGGATTGAGTAGTGGAGCTTGAGGTCTGGTTGTTGTTTGACTGGTTCAAGGTTGAAGGGACTGACTCAGACGTAACATCAGACATGATGGGCAAAACCGATCGGTGCAGAGGGATTGCTAGGTTTCAAATATCAGCTCTGATACCATATAAGCTTGGTAAGAATAGAGATTTTATTGTATAGTTAGTATTTTATTGTATAATTCACTCTATTAACAATGTTATACACGGTTGTTCTCTTATATAAGAGACTACAGCCTAAAATAAGGAAAGAATCTCTTTACAATAGCTGGCTAATAAGTAACTTCCTAATTTGTATCTCTGACTAATTAGTAACTTCCTATTTTACATCATTGACCAAATCACCCTAATCTAATGCTAATCAAATGCATTTACTGCTAATCAAATCTCCTAGTATCCAACTGTCAAATCTCCTAATATTCGGCTGTATCACAACTAGATTCATATTTTTCCAACATTACTACAATCATAAATCATTCGAATTAGATCGTTATCAAAAAGAACAGTTTAGCATTAGTAGATGGATTTGTTCCCCAAAGGTTGAACAGCAAGGGGTAGAAGCGAACTGCTAGTACAGGTATACTGGCACCAAGAAGCTGTATTGCTTGCCCGCAATAGCGTGAAATTTGAGATAATGAACAAAAGAACAAAAAGAATTTCTTGCAAATTTTATTCGTTTGTGATACATCAAGAAAACGATTATAACACAAACACAATTGTGATGACAGTACACGAAATCAAGCTCCTAGTGGCACTATAAAGCGGTAGTCGATTTTCAAGCATCAAACTGGTTAAGTGGACAATAAGATCAACAAGTGAGAATTCTTGTAGGGACTGAGATCAATGAGAGAAAAAATTATGGGTTTCTCCCCCTTATGTTCCTTCTCCCTCTTGGGAATCGGTTGCAATTATGAAAGGATGAAAAGATGGAGGCGGCCAGCCATGACTGAAGGGCCTTTTCTATTTCTAAGCCTTGAAAAAGAAAATCTCTCTGTCAATACATAATCATCATGAAAATTCCTGGAACACCTTTTCAAGCATTGGATTCCTAAGGAATTGGATCAAGAGTTGTGGAAACCATTTCCCTTTGTTTTGTAGAGTCAAAACTGTCAAACAAAAACTTTATAAAACATTGTTCAGTTGCACATAATTTCCGGTGCTTGTTCACCAACTTGAGCAGTGATTAGGATACTCACCATGACACTGCATGCCTATCAAACTCCAAATACTAACGCATTGTCAACCACTTTGACCGAAATTAAGGGTTGTTTTTATGTTATGGGAACTTTTCTGAGAAGGCATATCACCGAGCAAAACTGTAGACAATCAACAGTCAGGGATTGTTTCCAATATGCATAAATCTGAAGGTCATTATTCGTGCCAATACCTGCTGGTACGACGAGTAAGATTGATCCATCAGGTGACCAGGCTAGTCTTCGGAAAAAGATGGCAAAATCTCGCCTTGAAAGAGATGGCTCTTTGTAGACTGCATATTCAAATATAGAGAAGCTTCGACAACATGTGATAGATGTGGTAGGGCGCCCCATTAGTAAGTAGATTGATCCGCAGTCTAATAGTACTAACCTTACAATTATCTGCTGATGGCTGTTCTGCTTTTGTAATTACATGCTGACAAACGTTATTTATCTTCTCAGTTCCTTTTGCTTTTGCTCGAGGCTAATTGACATATATTCTGCAAGTTCCATCAGAACTATGAGAAGCAACATACTTGGTTAATGGATCCCACGCAAGACCTTGAACGTAATGTGAAATGCAAACTCGCAGAAACAATAAACAAAGTTCAATCAAGAATCGCATAATGCATGAAGTCAATCAATCAGAAAACTAAAAGAAATGGTTCCCGAAAGAATATATATATATATATATATATATATCCCTACATCCACTGCAGGACCAGTTTTCCTCACTGTGAACAATGAATTACAGGATTACAGCCACAAACCCTCTCTGAGAATTTTCCTGAGAAAATTTCTACCATTCTCACACTTTCACTCTTGACCCAAGAAAACGCCTCAAGAAGAAAGAATTCACACTCAGAGAGAATGACCAGATACTGAGAATATCTTTCTAACCGCTAGTTATATTAGAACAACAGCTGTATATTCCAATACTCTAAATCTTCCCACGTCTAATACAACCTCAAATATACCCCCGCTAACCTATTGACCCTAGAAGATTAGTTACTCTACCACCTGTCAATAGCTTATTCATCAATCTCTTATTACTTTGATTCATTGTTACAACATAATGGAAATGGAAATGGGCATCCAAGATTTGATGGGCAGAACCCGAAAAGTAGAAATAATGACAATTAAGGTGGAATTTCGAAGACATTTAATTTTCTATCATTACGACATTATGTATCTTGTTGTGACCCTTTTTCGCATTCCACATAAAGTGACGTAAGGAAACTTGAGTATTAATATAAAGTGACATATGAGCATTAATAATTATTTTTATATTTTATTATCGTTTGTTTTAACTTTTTTTAATTTTATTTTATTTTATTAGTATTATATCATTTATTTTAGTTATCATTTTATTATCGCTTTTTAGGTAAGCTATAAAAAAACTTTTAAATATTTTAACAATTGAATATTAAAAATGTGTTTTTCCTCTAATTTAGGGTGTGTTTAGTAAGAGAATTCGTACTCCGATTTGAATCATAATTCATTACAGTATTTTCTCTCACAAAAAATTACACGTAAATCAAAAATAATTCTAATCTCATGATTATAATCCATGAACCAAACGTCTCTTTAGAGATTTTTACTTTTAAATAGATTCGAAAATCCTCCCGGTAAAATCCGTTTTCCTTCGTTCCGCTACATCAGTTATGCTATGTTTGGTAGGAAGGAAAGAAAATATGATAGAAATAAAATATGAAAGTAATGAAAAATAACAATTATGAAAAATTGATTTTCTTTTATGTTGTTTGGTATAAGAAGATGGAAAGAAAATGAACTTACATTCATTTGTTTGGTATTGAAAGTTAAATTGGGAAGAAAGAAAAAATTTTAGTTGTAAAATACTTTTATACCCTTAAATTTTTTGTTTGGATGTTGATGGAGAAAGGGGTAATTTAGTAATTTTACTCACTTTAATTAGTTGTCTCTATTTTTCACCACATTTTCTACCCACTTGTGAAAAGAAGAAAAATAATAGGACCCACATGTATTATTTTTCACTCTATTTTCTCTTCTTTTCTCTTTTCTCTCCCACCAAACAACTTACATTTCCATTTTCTCTCCCAAAATCTCTCCACCTTCTTTCTTCCTTCTAGGGCTGTAAGAAATCACCCCGAACCTGACGAACCCGGCCGAGCCGAGCTAACCCTACTCGAAAATCACGGGTTTTCAATGTTTTATTTAATTTTCAATTTTAATTATGTCTAACCTGCACTGCGCGGGTAGGGGTGCGGGGTGGGGTTACATGAACCCGAAGTAACCCTACCCGGCCGAACTGTTCAAAGTAGGTAAAACAATGTCCAACACTTCAAATTCTTACTTTCATAAGTTTATGGACTTTATGCATTTAAACTGTTAACTTATTTATGTTTTAGATTCACGGTTTGTGTTAAAAAATACTTATATGCCATAGTTGTTGAATTAAGACATTCTTTATTTATATTGGAAGTGTTTGATTTCAAAGTGAGTGTTTTAATTGTTCACCTTACATTTAGACCTCATCTTAAAGGAAAGACATGTTCTGTTTGATAATGATTTCTTTTGTAATAAGCACAGATTAATTGACTAAAAAGTAATCATGTGATCCTTAAGATCACCAACCCAAGTAACCCGACCCTACCCACACTGATCGGGTAGACTCAATTTTTCAACTCAACCCTACCCTACCCGGCCGATTTACACCCCTACTTCCTTCTACTTTTCTTTCCTTCCTACCAAACATACTCTTAGTATCAGAGCTCTCGGTTTTTTCCCAAGGTTTGACGCCATGATCAGTGATTGGAGCCACTTGAACGCCGATGAGCGCGAAGTTTCATACTATCGGAGAAACAGTGTCGTCGGTGGAGTGCCCACCAACAGCCGCCTTCTCCACCACTTTACCGCCGCCACCATGACTATTCTCTACCACCACACCACCACCATCATCACCAAAACCACCACCGTACCTGTTATCCCCAACAGCCACCATCACCTCCTTCTTCACCATATTCCTCACCTCCTCCACCATGAGTATTCCAATCACTCACCTTCACCTCCACCTCCACCACTTCATCGCCACCGTTATCAAGACCACCACCGCGACCAGTACGGCCACCACCTTCCTCAAGCAAACCATACACCACCATCAATTGCTCTCTCGACTTCACAGTACCACCACCACAATCAATCCCCTCACCAAACACAACCAGATCTGAGAAATCCCCAAGAGATCCATCGACCTCTCGACCGGACCGACGATCAGACATGGAACTTCGTCGAACTCAGCCACTCTCGCCCAACAACACCAAGAAATCGCCGAGACCCGTCGACGTTCCATTTCCTCAATTCGTCGAAGCAGACCCGTTCTCCTCGTCCCGATTTTCCCCTCGACCTCGGCGTCTCCACCGTCGAAGAGATTTGGAATCTCACCAAACACCGTCGTACACGACCACAAATCAAAAGGAAAACCAGCAATCGTCTTCGCCAGTTCAATTCCAACGCAGGCGCAGTCAAGGAAGAAGGTGAACGATCGGATTCACCGCTGAAATACGCTCAAAACGTGTCGCCGGACTCGCCATGGTTAAAGCCGGCTCGACCATTTTCACCGGGGCAGAGCGTGCAACTGCGTCAAGATGACGACAGCGGCGATATGGCGGCGAAGAACCGCGACGAGAACCAGTCGCTGCTGCTGGCGTTATCTCTGACGTCAGCTAAGTCCAAAACCGGCCAGCTCCGGTGCGGGATCGGCGATGGCGATGCTCAAGGTGACGGTGACCAACGAGAAGAAGGTACCTTACACGACGGCGACAACATTTGCACCCAAAACCTTTGTTGCAGCGGCTGGCCGACTTCGACACTTGGTTCACGACCTGCAGATGGAGTTCATTCAAATGGGCTCAACAAGGCTGCCCTAGCCCAAAAACAAATGGACCTATATCAATCCGACAAGTCCAGTAAGCAACTTGGACAAAATCAGACTCTAGGAGGGGATGTTGACCAAGGGGAAAGGGGCCCAAATCATATTTCGTCAAGGCCGACAACCAAACAAGTGCCCCTGTTCAGATTCTTACTTCCAACGTGCACAGTGGTTCTAATCAAGTACACCAACTTGCTAATACCTCACCCAAAGGTAATCAATCAGAAATTGCAATTTTGGAGATTCCATATTTTGATGCCAAATGTGACCCCATTGATGATTTTTTTGATTGGATGCAATGTGTGGATTATTATTTTGAATATAAATGTGGAAGAGGAAAAACAAGTTAAAATGGTGGTTTGTAAATTAACAGGACGTGCTCAAGCTCGTTGGAGTCGATTAGTTCACCAAAGAAAGAAAGAGAGAGTTTGGCACAAAAATGGGCAATGATGAAACAACTTGTGTGAGCAATTTTTCCTAACTCCTGTTGATCCAATTTTATTTGAACAATACCGCAATTGTACGGAAGCGAACCGATCTGTAATAGAATATGTTGATGAGTTCCAAAAGCTAAGTATGATGCTTGATGTTGGTGAACTTGAGATTCAACGTAGTATTAGATTTTTTAGCAGTTTAAAGAAAGAAATTCGAGAAGAAATCTATATATTGATGGTGCTGAATTTGTCTCATGCTATTAATTTTGCAGTGAGAGTTGAATGTGATCTTATGGAGCTTAGTGAGGACACTTATGAAGGAGGGTCTAAAGAGGAACAAGAGTTGATTGTTGCGGACTTAATTGAGGATGAGCTTAAATTGTAGAAAGATGGTTGAGAGGTTGATGAGCTTGAATCGAAGAAAGATGGCTTTGTTGTGAGTGAACTTGAATTGAAGAAGGATCTTTCTTGGGTTTATTAGGAACCTCGAACCATTTCACATCCACCTTGTTGGAGACTTCACTAGTGCATTGAGAGGTTTCAAGACCAAAGGGATGAGACAGAGTCAATCGCGTATAGCTTGGTCATTTTCAGAGTTCTATTGGAGGATTACTTTGGTGCCACTGTGGATTTGGGACGAGCTTCGAAGAGAGTTTTTAGTTGGAGTCTACAATTCTCACAAGACTAATAGTGGTCTCTTTTATATTGAGTTCCCCGAGTTTCCTTCATTCCACCACATTGCCGCTGGCTACTATTAGTTCATTTTCAAGTGCTTTTGGCAAACTTGGGGTCGAGTTCTTTTTTTTTTTTTTTTTTTTTTGATAGACGGGGGAACTGATGTTAAGAGATTTAAGCATTAATAGTCATTTTTATATTTTATTGTCGTTTGTTCTAATTTTCTAATCTAGCTTAGTTTTGTTATTATTTTATCGTTTATCTTAGTTATTTTGTTATTTTGTTGTTGTTTTCTATGTGAGCTATAAATAGCCACTTAGTCATTGTATTAGAAGACTTTTGAATATTTTGGCAATTGAATACTAGACCTGTGTTTTCTCTCCAATTTGAGAGTTTTCCCCTTATGGAGTTGTTTTTAGGTGGATTTGGAAATTCTCCATCCGGTTAGACCGGTAAAATCCGTTTTCCTTCATTCTGCTGCATCACAAAGCAAGAATTATCTACTGATCCGGAGACGAGAAATGCATCATCAGTTGAGCATTGCAAGTCCGGCACATCCTTGTGATGGAATCTGGAACGAACAAGGTCCAGTTAAGAGTAGAGTCTTCTAATACAATGACCTGGAGTGCTCCCTAATCTAAAAGCTGCATCTTAAAATAGATCAGACTTACACTAACGTCTTGAAAAACCTTCCATGTTTGACCAGTCTCTGAAGAATGTAGCTTCCATATTAGTAGCTCACCTCCCGAAGAAAATGAATACCAGGCTCAGGAGAATATTCTCCATATCACTCAGCTAAACAACAATTCTATATGCTCCGGATCATATTAATACTAATTTCATGATACAAGCCATACCATCTGCACCAGCCTAGTTGTTCTCCTGCATAGACAAAAGAGTAAGTGTAACTTTGCTTTCAACATCAGAATGAACAACAATGCAAATAAACAATATAAATCAGCAGCACAATTACTAAACAATTCATAAGAAACTGCAGCCACTAACTAGAACACGTTGTTTACTGCCTTCTCAATTGAGAAAATTTTGAAAGTTTCAAAGAGAATTGAGAGACCAGAAGAAGAAATAAACTGTGATTTATATGATTGTCAAAGAGAGATTTATACAAGTAACCAATGCAAAGAGAGTGTGGAAAACACTTGAAGTTATCCACGTATGAAAACTTGTGATTAACACTTGGAAGGAAAAATAAATTGTAATTTTATCATTGTTATAAGAATTATATAAGCAACAAATTTGAATTGTATGGTAAATACTTTAAGTTAACCAGCTACGGAACAAATTGACAAAAAGGAAACTCAAGAAAATGACAGAAAGATAATAGAAATACTCCACCCCAAGAAAGTTTAGTAGCATACATTAGAACCAATCACGTCTACAGAAAGTTTCCTGGATCATTCTATAGACATATTATGTATTCCTACTATGTAAGGCCTTGTGGGGTTTCGTCCTTCACATACAACAAGGAATAGCTCAAGATGAAGAATGACACTGCACCCAAGGAGTATGGCTGGTATATAAGATGCCGCAACAACACTGTTGACTTAAAGCTATGTACATTATCAGTTTTCTCTCTATGAATAGTAAGCGAGAAATCAGGAAGCTAGAAATCAGATGATACCTAAGTTTCATGCAATTAAGCATATGTTTTTATCACCTATATTACCTATTTCAATTCCCTACTGACAGATTGAAATCATGGAGCTTGGTTGCATGATTGAAATCATGGAGCTTGGTTGCATGCATGAATTCTGTGTCGTAATTAGGCCACATCTAAATTTTAACGTGTGTTTACAAATGTTAGGCTCATGTTTATTGGCAAAATAGTTTGTAAATTCAAACGACAAAAAGACAACAACTTGGGATCATATATTGACAACTATGGAGGATTTTGTATCAGATTTGGGCAGCAAATAGTGATCCCCTCATTCTGGTTGATTGACATATTATCCTTTTTGGTAATGTTGACTTTTGGTGATTGATGGGCTCTTTGAATGGGAAGAATACGTTAGAGGGATAGAGCCTTATTTTGAGGATTTTTTGGTCTGGGATAGAAAAGGGGTTGGAGTTAACGTTTTGCCTGTGCAGACACTGTAGCATTGCTTTTGTGAGTTTGGTGAGTGATTTGAGAAGAAAAAACTTCATATGAGTCTGCAGAAAAAGGAGTTTTTGTTTTAGAAGAAGAAAAAGTGCTTTCAGGAGGAAGCCATAAAAGACGAGTGGTGCTCGCTGAACATAGTCACTTAGAGGATTCTTCACAGCGGCGACTACATCAAAGAGGGAGTCTTTGAGTGTGTAAGACCAATTGGTGCATGTAATCTCTTTATCTTAGTGGATTGTTCACTGTCTGGGCGTGGCCCCGCAAATGTAGGTGTACGCACTGAACTGCGATATCAATTCCTTGTGTCTTTTATGCTTTTGTTTATATTTCTGCTCTTATAATTTCTTGCTGCCGAATTAAAGATAGATTAAATCCACTTGCACGTATCAGTCATCAGTGTTACAAGAAGTGTTATAACACTCTTTGTGACACCCGGTTAAAACAGACCTTTCAATTGGTATCAGAGC